AAGTTTCGTGGTGGTAGTTACCAGCCATCGTGGCAAATACATTGCGAGCCTCACTGTGAACACAGCACATGCCGAAGTGGCAGAGGATGCGGCTATAGCACGGACCCTCACACAGACCAAGACCACGTACGTGATTAGCGATTCGCAAACAGCAATTCGCAATTTTGCCAACGGGCGCACCTCGAAAGAGGCAATTCACATGCTCCAGCGACATCCCATACATCCAGGAGAGGTCGACTTCAATAACGAAAGACACCTGCGACAGATCTCGGCACACACCGGACTGAGCATCCCCATCGAAGCGGCTCGCCGCGATGCTCGAGGCCTCACTCACCGAGCATCGCCGGAGGACGATGAGCCCCCGCGAGAAACTGCAAACGTCTGTGTGTGGGAGTATCGTGTGACTTGGTTTCAAGATACCACCACACACTACCAGTTACACAGGCGCATATACCCATCCCCCCCCCCCCCGAAAGGCCAAAAAGAACGCAAGCGGTACACTTCATACAATTACAAACAGATTCACACAGAAACCCCAGACTCATACACGCCATGTATCCAGACATTATTTACACTACAAATCAACATCATGTGGCGAGTTTGCCACCCTTAGTCACATGCTGTGGGAGTGTCAGGGCCTAATACTCAATTTAACAGTGCCGATTCATATCTCTCTTCCCCCGCCAACCTCCGCTCGCGCTGGAAGGACGCACTGCTCAGCTCGAACCTGAAGACACAACTCTCGGTCGTCCAGCGTGTTTAAGAAGCCGCTTAGAGACAAGGTTTCGGAACCGCATCCGCGGTGGGTGAACAGGCCCACCAAAAAAAAAAAAAGAAACGACGGACTCGAATCAATCGTTTTGATTCGGCAAATGAAGTTTATGTTCTTCAGTCTTCTATTTATTTTTATCTTTTTTCCTTTCTTTTTCTAATCTTCACTTGCTTGATGTTTGAATTCCTATATGTGTTTCTTGTTGTCGTTTTTCCCTAACCATAATGTGCGCACTTCATGTGGTCATCGATACGCTCGAAGAAGAAGAAGACCTCTGTTACGACAAGCAACGACAACAGCCTTCGAAAGCACTCGGCACTTCTTCTTGGTTTATTCCCGTATATACATTCTCCAGTACCTATCATCACACGTTCGAGAATTGCAACGGCCTCGCTGTTCTCGCGTTCGAAGCGTTTTCGTCTGCGTGAGCAGCGGAAAGCCGCCGTCGAAGAAAGTCCCGAATCGTCTCGAAGTCGCCTGACTCACTCGAGTCACCTTCGTCGCCCTCCTCTTCACTCGAGTCCCTGAAAAGTTGAGGATGCTAACATGTGGCGGGGGCGGAATCAGAAAATCATAAAAACATCTCAGGAATATAGAGAACTTTCAAATGGACACTTAAGTGAAACAATGAATTAGCTGAGATTTATGAATTTTACTCTGAAAACTAATGTCGTTAACTTCACCGTCATGTTTCAGTGATGTAGGAAAAAAACTAAGATGATAACCGCACTTCGAAATTTCACGCCGAAAATTTCGCGTCTAACATCGTGGATTTCACATGCTTTTTTTATACTTTGGCAATATTCGCCAAACCAAATTTTCTGAATTGTGGTATGCTGAACGTAGTGCTGTGCCTAATCAGAGGGCAATTTTCACCGATTAGGAACTTTCCAGGTCATAGGGAACTCCGTGAAAATATAGGGCGTCATGGCAGATGGTGCAAGAACATCGAGGTGGCGTCACCACCAGCATTTTACTTTCGCGCGTTTTCTCTATTGCCAAGCGTCTTGACGCGGCGAGAGCGGTGATTTTTGTATTCTGGAACAGTTTTTTTACGAATACGAGAAAAAAAAAACATTGTTTCTTCTGATTATTCTTTCGAACATGCCATTCAGGAATTTGTTGCAACAAGGCTTCAATGTGTCGTCCTTTTTTCTCTTTTCCTGCTCTCTCTTTCCGCTTACGCAGCAAGCCTGAATTTCATTCTAAAATGTTCGATGACACGTAGGGCACAACTAAGTACTGCGTTTGCCCGTATCTTGTCTTTATTCCACATAAAAAGCTTCCGTAAGAATGGACTGACTCGCTCAACAATTACTGCGTCCCGCGAAAGCCGTTATGTCGTGGTTTATTTAACCTCGAAGGAGGTGATGTAAAATAACAACACCTTTAAGTGGCATCGAGCGATGGGGCATCCCTTCTTTTACAGTGGCTGCTCTATGATTCGCTCGTCACATTTGCATAATGACAGTTCTAAAATGGGGCCCAGTTCATCACCCACGGTCTCTCAACTTTCCGGAGAAAAGCGTTGGCGTGATGGCCTCTGGATTGCTGTACTTTCTCGAATATAAGGGGAACCTGCGTTTCTAGCAACCGAGGAACAACTGGCGAAAAAATCGGCGAGTCAATGGCGGCAGCTCTCCCATCACGTACAACACTTAAACTGTACCCCATTTAACAAGCATGTTCGTTCCTACGAATATCGATAAATCCCTTCCTTTGTAACCAACAAATACCTGAGCTTTAGCTTTTCCGTGTCGAATTTCTGCGTATGTAAATGACGCAATGCTTCCTGAAATGCCAAACCATACCGTCTTGATTTCAACAATAATGCAGGCTACAATCAAACCACCGTCATCAACGAGTAGTGTAGGGTACGTAAAGAGAAAATATTACCAGTATGCCTTGCCACTTCATTCGTCAATGTGCGACCTAAGCAAGCGACTTCGTTTGCAAGTCTTTATTTGTAACAGCGACTTAATTCGTGGTAACGTCCGAGCCACCTCATCTAACCGTCAGGGATAGGTCGGCGATGACAGGCAGGTGGTACACGTGAGTATATGCGGAACCACGTTTTCGACGCATCACAAGCCTTCTTCTCTGGCACGACGACGACCTCACTTCTGCCGAAGATCATCACCTGCTTACTATATTCACAGTGTTTGTTTTCTACCGAGCGTAGTGCGTAGCCAGATATTCGATATTTGAGTGAAAGCAGCACACTAATGCAAGACAGTGCCCATTACATCAAGTGCTTTTGTTTCGTACGCCCACTTGAAAACGTACTTCAGAAGGCGAGTTCAATGAGTTTGTTTTTTCATTGAGTTTCGTAAGATGCTGAAATACACGTCTTGAAATCCGCATCACGACGAGATACTGAAATCTTCTCTCCTGTTTTCCTTTTGCTCAGTGCAATACCACACGCAGAAGAAAAAGTGAAGAAAGAGAGGAACTTCTTGGGAAGGTACTGCCTCGAATCTCTCGCGTTGCCATCATAACATCACTGCAGCTCCAAAAATAACGTAAGCCTAAGTCAGAAAAGCCAAAAAGGTCCTCGAAAGATAAGAACTTCAATTTATAAAAACTTTATCTAACAACACTTCAGGAGCATTTATACTCATCTATTACAGGCTACATAATTATTCATAGTTCAAACGTTCTATCTCTGCTCACACGAGCTTTGAAAGTTTCTGCACTTAACGCAAGAGCGCTTTTGATGTTCAAGTCAAACGACATTCTTAGCAGGAATTGCAAGCCATGCAGCCTTAAAGTGAAAACCACTGCCCTTGTCGTGAACTATTGAATGACTAAATAGATAATCTATTGTCAAGCGAAATGTGGAGGAGAATGCTGGGTACTCTCAAGGGAGCAACGCTTAAACACACCAAAGCACATCTGAGGACGCTTCGTGCCGATTAAGCTTCGGAATAATGCCTCAAGATGGTTCGACTGGATAAGCACCCTGTCTCTTTAAAAACTGCTAGCTTTCCGATGGCGTACTTACATATCGAGAACTAAGCGAGTTCACTCTGACGGAAATCGTAAAGAATGTGTCACAGGAGCAACCCTTCGAGGCACTGTACTAGGGCGAAACTTCCTAAAACACGTACTTACAAACAACCTGCCACATCCATTAGCTGTATAGGACAGCGCCTGTGCTCGTTGCCAATGGGCACACTCTGGAAGACAGCCGAAAGGATGCTTACCGAATGACACAGAGGACTCTTCGCGCGATACGACGCGAAGAGCTCACGCGAATTAAACCTTAGATAATAAACTACTCGGATAGCTTACTACTTTCCTAAAAACAAACGTTGTCCTCTAATCACTGAAACAGAGACATAGGGCCGAGAGGGGGAAAATTTTCAACGTACAGTTAAATATCCGTATCTCGTTTCATTTCGGCAACTCCTCGTAGAACATTAACGTGATTAGAGGAACGTGAGAGCGATCGACCATCATCAAGCTAACAATAAGTTAATCTGCCAGTTTTTCCGTACGTGACCTTTTTCACAACAACCCTGTAGACAGCCCCCCTCCCCCTCCGGGCTGAATGACTGGGCATCTGCCACATTAAAGTACTTCCTTCTCCGCTCCTTTAACAAAGGGAACCAGTATTCGAAAATTATTTCTATGCGAAGCGAAAATTCAATCCACGTCATGCAAGTTCTGACAATCTTGCTTTCCTGTGCAAAAAAACTCCCCCACGCGCGTGCTTCGACGCAGTTTCTCAACAGTGTGTCTCTAGACTATTTTAAGAACGGCTTTCGGTGTCAATTACTGAACTGTTATCTTTGAGTTTTTCTTTTTTTCATTTACAATTGAACGGACAGATATACTGTAGACGTATACGCATGTACACGATTGGGCGGGTGCTTTCGAAGTTTCGTGAGTTTCTTAATTTCAAGCTACGACGAACAAAAATAAGAGAACATACGTTTAGCCACCCGAAATGGCCGCGGCCATGTGCACAACTTAAAATCATCTATATAGCGAAGCGCAAAAGGAGTGAGCCAGCCGTGAACTCTTCATGAGTGACGCATTGCGTGTGCGCCTACTATATGTTTCGCCGTATACACTCGTTCAATGCAAATTGCAGTACCATGGGAGACATTGCAAACTGTATTCTGGTGAATTTTTTGTTATTTCTAGCCACATTTGCAACTACGCTAAGGTGAGGTACGTGTTCGAAATAGAACACAGCGGAGTGGAGACAGTGAGAGGGCGCTCACATTTCTTCGCTGACGTCGAACAGGTCCCCGTATTCGGCCGGGTTCAAGCACACCGTGCAGACGTTCTCGAGTTCGTCGAAGCATTCCACGCAGTAGACAGCTGCGCGACAGTGGTTAACAAACCCGTGTCAATGAATGAAGCAGTTATTTGAAGGAATGGCCCATTACCTCAGTAAAAAAGGTCGTATCAGATTTAACGTGCAACTATACATAAGTGCGTACAGAAAAAGCTGCAGTCACAACAAATAATGACAGAGGAGGGCAACCATAATTGTTTCATCAAATCACGCGTACTACCGTGCCACTGCGGCCCATATATCTGAATTATTGCACTCCAGAAAGACGTTCACAGGTATTAGCGTGCAGTGAGATCTGTTAATCCGGCACCAGTATTGTGCACCCTTGCGTACATCCGAAGCAAGTGGCAAGAATTTGAATTTATAGTCAACATTGGCAAGAAGACGCTTATATCGTTCGCGATAGGCATCTCAAAATAGCTGTTCATCTGGCAACAATTTTAAAGATGACAAAGCGCAAGAAAATAGGCTTACTTTTAAAAACCTGCCTTTGCGTAAAGCTCCCTTAAAGAAGAAGTTACTGACGACACAAAAAATTCAATGCCGCAAGGGCTGCCTAAAGAGCGAGCGGCCTGTGTGGCTTACGGCCCATGGCCACATTTTTGCCATTTTGCGTCTGACACTGTGCGTCTGACATTTCCTAAAATGCAATAAACAAGCATGTAGCCATGCATAGGCGATGCTGCGATCGAGCACGAGCCTCCTTACGAATGTTGCCAGACTGGCTAGACCCGCTTGCTCGCGAATTTACGCTGTCAACCTTAGTGTTTGATATGACGCAACTATACTATTCTTGGCATATCTGGATGAAAAATACCTTCTTTGACCCATTTTAATGAATACGAGTTTATATACATTACTTAAAATAAAAAATCTCACTTGGGTTTCCCCATGTTAACTTGCGATGCTCACTTCGCATCGGCTGTGTGAACTTTTTTGACGGAGAGGATGATCCCCTCCTTTCTGGGCTGATGCACGCGAGTACAAAAGCTGACGTCACAGCTTCACCCCTGAATTTCTGGGGGTCACGCCTGTGAAGAACAGCCCTCACGGCAGGCCGCCCTTCGCTAATTAAAGTCGCACTGCTCTACAGGCGCTCCTTAGGGCCCAAACGCTTCTGCCCTATTCCTCAGGTGTACTCTCACGGTGGCCACAAAAGCAATCTCTTTATTCCAAACAGTGAAAACAGCTGGGCTCGTCCCCACATCAATAAGTCGTTTGTTCACAGTTTCTGAAAAAAAAGTGACAAGCAGCAGTGCAGGTGCCGACTTACAGTAGCCGCGAGAACAGCAAGCGAGGGATACTGAAGGGAATGCAAACCCATTAAAGCATGTTTGTTTGTATTCCTCCTAGCAGGCTGTGGTGACTTTCTGCGTTGTTCGGCCATTTTCGCTCCTTCGTTTGCTTGCTTTATCTTTTTTTTTCCCATTCATTGCTGTGTGGTCAATTATGTTTGTTTATTTCTGTGTTTCAACGTCATCACGCGAATGAGGAAAAATATATCATGTGCTGCGTAGGGAAGAATGGCAGAAAAAGAACTAAATAGAGGTGAAAATGAAGGCATGTGAAATGAATGCGCTCAACAATACGGATGGCTCAACATGGCCTACACTTGTTAAATGAAAGTCACATATTAAGTTACAGGCAGCAGCCACCCTGCCGACGTTTCGCAGTGCCCACCTTTAGTAATGCGCGCAATGGCTGATCGAAAGAGCAGCGCCTCCTGGTCAATGAACTTCCTTCCTAAATCACCACGCTTTTTACCAAATTATCTTGGGACGACCCGGTGATGCTGCGGTGATTTCGCCAGTTTCGTCATGCTTGTTTTTATATTAGCTGCAACTCACGGTGCTTCGGCCAGCACGGGGATTACTAATAAACGAATTTGTCCAACCTTTCAACTCGCTTTGGCTCCGCGTGGCCTCAGTCGGCTTTGCCGCCAGACGTCGTTCACGCTTCTGACTATCTTGACTTCTTGGACTCCAGACTTGCACATTTTTTGTGTCCTTGTTTCTTTTAGCGCAGTTAAGCCATCAAGTAATGGACGTCAGCCCAACTTGGTTCTCTTGAATTTTCGCCAATTGAAATCAACTCACGAAGTTCACAACCACGCGTTCTTTTATTCGAATCAAAACCAAAACACTGCAACAAACAAAGCTACAAGTGCGTTCCAAGCCCGTAAGCACGAAGACTAGGCGAATCTGTGCACTACGCCTCTTTCTCATACTCGCTGAACGATCTCAGCGCCAGAGATTGTAAGGAATCGTATGCTGTGAAGTAAAGTTTTGTGTTAACGTCATCTCTTGACGATAGGAAGGTATCGAATAGCTTGCGCAACCGTTATCTTTTGCGGTCGCTGTCACTGCGTATGCGTTATAACGCTAGCCGCTATCAGCGTTTGCGTTTTGCCCGTACAAATCCGAAATAGCTTGCAGCCCTCAAGGCCTGCAAAGTTTCTTTGCGGCGACTCGAATGTGCGTCAGAGTTTGCTAGGAATGAACGCTATTGGAAAACTCATATGTCACCCGTACGCAAACGTTACGCCCACAGCACCCGCTAACTTAGCGTACGCAATTCGAAAACTCGCGAATGAGTTTTCGCATCACTCGTGATCACGCCGAAGGAAGCCAGTTTTCTGACTCCTGACGAGGAGGCATGCGAAGCTCTCACCCTTGCAGGTCGGTGTCGCACACTGGCGGAATCCCTGCGCATCGTCCATGGCGCCCGAAGTTCCACAAGAGAGGCAGTTCTTTCTCCGTATGCCCACGAGGTTCAACGCTCTGCGGACTACAGGAAATCTGCACGGTTTGGGAACAAAAAACTGCTACAAAGTAATTCCCCACTCTGGAACCGCTTGGAGAGCAGTTCCCTGAGCTAGCATCAGTCGTCTCTGAATGTCCTCTTCACATTCAACAGCTTCTGAATTGCGCAAAACATATGAAGCAAGAAGTGAGGTTCACTTAAAATTAAGAAAAAAAAAATAGTGGAGCTCGTGTTGTGCCGGAAGCCGCCTGCTCAAACGCGATTACTTTTGTTTTCAAGAAACTTCTGATTCTATCTTCAGTAGAAATTCGCCAAAAATCACCAAATTCCCACTACCGCCAAAGTAAGAATGAAGACGACACATTAATGCGAACCGAATGAGCCACAAGCGGTCAGTCTATGCAAGCCATGCACTTCATTCAAAAGTCAACCAACGAAGCAGACGCACCGCGCGAGAAACAAGTCAACCAGGCCGGGCGCCCTGCCGCCCTCCCAGCGCAAGCGGAGCGCCCTGCGCGCCCCGGTCAGCCAGCCCGTGCGCAGGGAGAGCAGGTGTGCGTGCAGCCAGGCAGCCCGGGCGCGCTCCCGGTCTGGGTAGAAGGCGGACGCCACCACGTGACGCAGTCGAAGCCCGTACGTCTGGCCCACAATCAAGACCACTCCCAGCAAGTACACCACACCTGCGTTGTGCGGAGATGTCTCGTGAAAGGCCGAAAGTGTCGTCGGCGTCGACACGAGTGACGCGAAAAAGCCCCGCATCTCCACGAAGTGAATCATGACGAGCGAGTGAAGCTTTGCGAATCGTGTCGCCATGGAATGTAAATTTGGTCGACGGAAAGCTAGGCCCGTAACGTCAATTTCGCCGACTATAGTATAAAGGGTTTGTGCTTGTAGCTGTTCTATATTGTTCTGTTTCAAATATATCGCTAAAGGGCCACTCGCCAGGTTTGACAATTTTTAGCTGACAAGTGCTATTCGTAGATGAGGCGTTCGCGATCACGTTTGCCAAAATTTGCAACGCTACGCACCACCGAAATGGGTCGAATATTAAGATGAACGCTGCTCCTCCTCCTTTTTTTTTTTGGGGGGGGGGGGGGGGGGGGGCCCAGAGAATGAGGGCATGACGTGCGCGTATGAACAGCCCTATGTACACGGCATGCTGTGACGTTGGTCCTCTACGTCGACGACTCTGCTCAGACGTTGCCAATCGTGGCACGTCATATGGCGAAAAATATTTACCATGACATGCGTAGTTTATGTAAATGTTGTTTGAAGAGAATAATAAATATATAGAAAAATATTACGACGCAATAACGAGGTGCAAGTGTTCTTTTTTTTTCACCCTGTGAATTGCAACGAGATGCGGGGCTAATGTGCCGGCGTTTCGCATACGTTCGAGTACCCGCGGTCAGCGCATCGAGCAGACAGACGACCACCGTGGAACACTCCTACGCGTTCGCGCACTCATTGTGCTCATCTGTTTTACCACGTCTAAGCCAGCTATTCCGAAACATCCCGCAGAAATTGGCAGTAGACCTCAAGAAATGAGGGACCTTAAGCTTCGCCTTTAAGAGTTGAACGCGATAGCGAAATCCGGTCCGTATATTTATAGTGCGCCCTTCAAGCACTAAGTGTGTACTTGATAATTTTATTATGTTATGTACATACAAACACTCGCACACAGTAGATCATAAAAGGCGTGCATGCAAATGGTACATACAGGTTTTTGATCTAAAGCAAGAGTCGCATGGCCTCTAAAATACACGCCACGCGCTCGCCACCTCGGAGGCCATGAAGAGTCTCACAATGCCTCACAGATAGCAGCACATTATCCAGCACTTGCTCTTTCCTTTATCAACGCCTCTGGAAAGGCATAATATATTTTCAGCTAGATGAACATAGTTCGTTTTTATAGCAGTTCGAAAGTTCCTGTGTGTTTTTAGCGGTGGCGGCAGCACTATCCCGGCATTTTTCGACGTAATTTGAGGCTTTCCAAATGTGCCTACATATCGCCAAATGGGCTCGTTTTCGTCGTGACACCTGTCGAACGAAACGCGTTAAAGGGGCCCTGAAACACTTTTTCAAATAACCATAGAATGTATTCACTAGAAGAGCTTATTGCCTCACGAATTCAACACTGAAAAAGCTTTAAGAATCAGTTCAGAGTGAGTGGAGTTGCAAAGGTTTGTAGCATGCTGCAATTGCATTATCTCTTCTCTCGTTCCGACGAAAGCGCTCGAAGCTAAGCAGGGAGGGGTGGCATGGGCAAAGAAACTACCACGCCTCGTGACCTTGAGCACTTCTTTTTTTCTTCGAATGTGCGGGTATTTCAGTGTGATCGCGCGCGCACGCGTGGACAAGTAGCGGCCTCCTGCGGCGATTTTGGTAACTTGATTTTTCGTTCACAGACGCACAGACGATTTTTCGCTCACAACCAACCGGCCCGACACTGACGGCGGGATTTCGGCGACACGAGCTAACGCTATCGCGTTACACTCACTCTGGTCAACAAAAAAAAAAAAAAAACCGCTCGCGTGCACGGAGGTTGGTCTTGTTCGGGCATGCCATGCACACGTGACCTCTTGGTCGGATACTGGAGAGGGTGGGAAGAGCTTTGGCTCGCGAAGGCTACGCGGAGGAGCGGCAAGGGTGTCGAGCTTGCCGCCTCTCATCCTCGTTTCGCGACGCTGCAAAAAAAAAAAAAACAAGTTTCTCAGCTCGTATTGAACCGAATAAAAAAATTTTTTGTGGCAAATTGTTCCTTATCAGACACCAAACTATTTCCATGGCCTAATAAAGTTTGGTACGAGGTCTGTTGAGTGCCCCTTAAAACATCTCTACATCTCTGTGTGTGTGTGTGTGTGTGTGTGTGTGTGTGTGTGTGTGTGTGTGTGTGTGTGTGTGTGTGTGTGTGTGTGTGTGTGTGTGTGGTGTGTGTGTGTGTGTGTGTGTGTGTGTGTGTGTGTGTGTGTGTGTGTGTGTGTGTGTGTGTGTGTGTGTGTGTGTGTGTGTGTGTGTGTGTGTGTGTGTGTGTGTGTGTGTGTGTGTGTGTGTGTGTGTGTGTGTGTGTGTGTGTGTGTGTGTGTGTGTGTGTGTGTGTGTGTGTGTGTGTGTGTGTGTGTGTGTGTGTGTGTGTGTGTGCGTGTGTGTGTGTGTGTGCGAAAGAGAGATAGAGTCAGTGAGTGCGACAGGGAAAAAGAGAGAGAGAGAGGTTGAGCGAACGTGCGTGAGATTTTGTTGTACTTGAACAGGTCTAGCGCATAACGGGAGTGAATAAACGGGCGAGTCGGCCAACACAACCGGACAGACCGCTCTGTCCCTAGGGCCACAGTCACACATTAGAAGTGAAGCGAAAAAGAAAATGCCACAGCGGCCGGAAAACCACGACCGCGCGCTGCCCTCGGAAATGATACCACCACCACCACAATGGCTACTTTGAGAATTATTTGTTTTTTTTTTTCGTGAGCACTAAATTATATACAGATTTATTGCTATTCACGCAAAGTAGTGAAAAAACAGCTCGCATCATTTCAAACGTTGTTTCGGGAGGTAGGCCAGCAGAAACGACACAAGCGAACACACCGGCAGTGGCGACGTGGTTTCAACCGGCTGTACACAAAAGTGAGACATGTTGGGGCATGCCGACTCGCTGCCGCTGCATCGTCTACTTCCAGAGTTCTCGGCGACCGTAATTCAAGTAAGGCTCTCAATGAACGCGTCCTGGTTGGTGCCATCAAGCTTCGTCGTGCTGCACGGGTAGTTTGCGATTTGAGCCGATGCGAGGCACTGCCGACGCGTATGCCGCCATGTTAAATCTGAAGCCGGCTGATTAGGTTGTCGGAGCTAACACGGGAAAGATCCAGCCCTGACAGCGTTCAGTTTTCTAACTCACTTTTTTTATTATCGCGCTCCACCCACCGCGCGGCCCAAATGCCAACTTCTTCCTTGACGAGCGGCGCAATGAGGCGCTACAGGGCTCCCCCCCCCCCCATAAATCTACAGCCGTAGGAGTCACCAGAGCAATTGCCCAGTGGACATGCTTGGATGTGGGCATCCAGACTGGAGATGGAAACCCCGCAGCCGCGAGAGCGGCGATATACGAAGGTTTCAGTCGATCATCAGCCACGACGTCTTCACGGCCATTGATGTCCAGCGTGAACGTCTTAGGTGTACGATGGAGTACGCAGAATGGGCCATCATAGGCTGGTGTTAGTGGTGGCCGTATTTAGTCACGCCGAACGAAGACGTGACTGCAGTCATGCAGCTCTTGACTGACGAAGGCAGACTGGGGCTGTCGGTCGGCAGGAATCACAGGAGCAAGGTCCCGAAACGTGGTGCGCAGCTCTCGAATGTACGTGGAGGCATCGTGAGTGGAAGGTGGCGATGATGGCTCAAAGAATTCTCCTGGAAGACGCAGGGAAACGCCATAGACTAGTTCGGCTGATGAGCCGCCGAGATCCACTTTCAATGCTGATCGGATGCCCAGAAGTACGAAGGGGAGGTGGTCGAGCCAACGTTCCCTTGGCTGGTGAGCAGTGAGGGCAGCTTTCAGTTGTCGATGAAGCCGTTCGACCATGCCATTGGCGGAAGGATGGTAGGCAGTTGTGTGGATGTGTCGAATGCCCAGGATATTGGCAAGTGCGGTGAAAAGGGCCAACTGAGACTGACGACCGCGATCAGTGGTGACGACAGAAGGGCATCCAAAGCGCGACACCCAGCCCTTTGTGAAAGCCTTGGCAACTGTTGGTGCTGTAATGTCGGAAATGGGAAACGCTTACGGCCATCTGGTGAAGCGATCCACCCATGTCAGCAGGTAACAGGCTCCTTGCGATAACGGAAGAAGACCGACGATGTCGAGATGGACGTGAGAAAACCTTGCGTCTGGAGGCCGAAACGGGGATGTTGCCGTGACAGTGTGACGGTGAACTTTAACGCGCTGGTACTCAAGGCAGGTTCGCGCCCAGCGTCGGACATCAGCATTGATGCTTGGCCAAAGGATACGACATGTGACTAGCTTCTGGGTCGCACGAATACCAGGATGGCTCATGTTGTGCACGTGATCAAAAATTGCCCGACGAAAAGCTGAAGGCACAAAGGGCCGAGGGACATCAGTAGACGTTTCGCACGTTATTAATGAGGTTGAAAATGGAAGCGGGCACTCCGTGAACGATAGAGACGTGGATGAAGAGCGAAGGCGATGCAGCTCAGGATCGTTGCTTTGGGCAGCTGCTAGCTCTTCCATGTCTAGTGGTGGCTGGGTCGACAAGGCATCGATGCGGGATAGTGCATCAGCAGCAGCATTTTCCGGCCCATGTACGTGTCTGAGATCCACAGTGAACTCGGCAATAAAGCATAGTTGACGGATCTCCCGTGCAGTATAATCGCTGTGATTGCGATGGAAGGCAAACGTCAGGGGCTTGTGGTCTGTAACGACGTAAAAGTCCCGGCCCTCCAATAAATGACAAAAATGTTTGACGGCGAGGTATACCGCGAGGAGTTCTCGGGCAAATGTACTGTATTTTTCCTCTGGTGGCTTCAGTTTTTGCGAGAAAAACCCAAGGGGCTGCCAACCGGATACGTGCTGCTCGAGAACGGCGCCAACTGCCACGCTTGATGCATCGGTGATGAGACGAATTGGGGCATCAGGGACGGGATGTATGAGCATGGTAGCGTCTGCCAGAGCCTTCTTGGCAGTGCAGAAGGCAGATGCAGCGTCCTTGGGCCACTCCAGTGGCGCAGCCGGGTCTTTTTTTTTTTAGCCAATAGGTCGGTCAAGGGCTTTAGGAATGTGGCGCCCTTTGGAAGAAAACGGCGATGGAAGTTTAGTAGGCCCAGAAATTCTCGGAGTCTCTTCAGTGAAGTCGGTGGTGGAAAGTCTTGAATAGCCTTCACTTTGCTGGCGAGTGGTTGGATACCCTTTGGAGTGACAAGGTGGCCTAGGAACTCTATTGTAGCGACGCCGAAGATGCACTTATTGGGATTAATTACGAGGCCGTAATCATCCAGGCGGTGGAACAGGGTGCGCAGGTGGGCTTCATGCTCAGGGCCGGATGAGCTTGCTACAAGGAGGTCATCAAGGTAGGCAAATACGAAATCGAGACCTCGCGTGACCTTGTTGATAGTGCGCTGAAAGGTCTGTGCAGAGTTTCGCAATCCAAGAGGCATCCTCACATATTCAAACAGACCGAATGGGGTGGTGATGGCCGTCTTCGGAATGTCGGCGGGTTCTACAGGAATCTGATGGTAAGCCTTCACTGAGTCGATCTTAGAGAAGATTGTGCACCCAGCCAAATTTGATGTGAAATCCTGTATGTGAGGAAGTGGATAGCAGTCTGGTAAGGTATGGGCATTGAGAACGTGGTAATCCCCACATGGTCTCCAGTCGCCAGGATCTTTCTTCGGTACCATGTGGAGTGGCGACGCCCAGTTGCTGGAGGAAGGCCGCACAATGCCGAGTTCAAGCATGTGCTCAAACTCACGGCGGGCGATGGCGAGGCGTTCTCCAGATAGTCGACGGGGTCGTGTAAAAACGGGAGGTCCAGTGGTTACAATGTGGTGAGTGATGGAATGCTTCACCGGTGACTCTCTGGCGTTCGGCTTCGTGATGCTGGGAAAGTCGTCGAGTATTTTTGCTACGGCGAAGAAGGTGTGAGAGCTCGCAGTCTCGTTGGCGAGGAAGTACAGAGTACACCGTTGATGGAGAGGCGGGTGTTGAGATCAATGAGGCGATGAGCATGCATGTCCACAGCAAGGTTGAAAAAACTGAGGAAGTCAGCTCCAAGAACAGCTTGCGAGACGTCAGCGAGGATGAAAATCCAGTGGAACGTACGGCGTAGTCCAAGGTCAAGTGTAAGAGAGCGTTGGCCGTATGTGCGAATGGCGGAATTGTTGATCGCTTGAAGTGGGCAGATCTGTTCGTTGCGATGGCGATCTGCACACGAGGCCGGGATGACGCTAACCTGGGCTCCTGTGTCGACTAGGAAGCAAGCGCCAGTGATCTTATCAGAGACATAGAAAAGGCGGCATGACTTTCGACCAGTACCACTTGCCACCGTCAGTGGCCGGTCGTCGCATTTCCCGACCAGGAGCACGTGCTAGTGCACGTGCGAGTGCACTTGCGAGCAGAGGCACCGAATCGGTGGTGGTACCAGCACACGGTTGAGGATGAAACGTCCCGCGGCGCGTCGGGTGGCCGAAGTTCCGGAGAACGTGGGGGCGTCGAGGAGCGACTGTGTATCTGGAACCTGGATGACGGTCGACGATGCGCAGGTACAAAGTGATCGAGGCGCCTGACAAGGGCGTCCAAACGGTTCTCGATGCTCGCGAGCGCCGGGTCTGCAGCGGTGGCCGGTGGCGGTGTGGTAACGGCGTTGAGGCTATGTGCCCGCGAGTAGTCCGCCACTCGGTCAGCCATTTCAGCGAGTGTGTCTACTGGCACATCTCCTGCAGCTACGAGGACCGGGACCATGCTTACCATGCGGTAAGCGCTGGAGGAACAACTCACGTAACAGCTTCTCCTCTTGAGGGGCGGAGGGGCCGCCAAGGAGCTGGCGCATGCGTCGCAGGAGCTGTGATGGGCGACGGTCACCGAGCTCTGTAGCCGTGATGAGCTGTTGGAGTCTGCTGTGTTCGGACTCAGACTTGCGGGAAATGATAGCTGCCTTCAACGTGTCGTAGGGATGGCTCGGGTGCGGCGACGCTAAAATATCAGCTAAGTCGTCGGCTACGTCCGGAGGTAAGCAGGATACCAGATGCCAGTGCCTGGTCTGTTGGCTGGTTATTTGCCGTAGACGGAAGTGCGCCTCAACCTGAAGAAACCATGTGCTGGGGCTGTTGGGCCAAAATGGTGGCAGGTTGACATGTTGAATCGCAGCGACTGCAGCCCCGCTAGGTCTGGCGTCTTCTTGGGCGTCAGGACTGGTAGGATTGGTGGCAGAGCCGGCGGGATCCATGCGGGATGATCGGGGCTGTGTGTTCTTTATCGGGTCACCATTAACTGTCGAAGCTTACACGGGAAAGATCCAGCCCTGACAGCGTTCAGTTTTCGAACTCATTTTTTTTTTATTATCGCGCTCCACCCGCCGCGCGGCCCAAATGCCAACTTCTTCCTTGACGAGCGGCGCATTGAGGCGCTACAAGGTCACTTGGTTTGATTTAGCGCAGCCAAGGCTGTGAAGCGGAAAATGGACCCGGTTTTGCGTGGCGGGAAAATCGGTCTGGGAGCGATTCTTGCGCGCCGGCCACGCGTTGTGGTTTTCCGACCGCTTGGGCGGCGAAACAAGCCAGTTTCCGGAGAGTTTTGCCAGTTTCGCTCTCTTCCAGGCCAAGTGTGAACGCGCCTTTATTGTTGGCCGGCTCGGCCGTTTCTTCTGTCCCGTCGTAATGCGCTGGAACAGTTCAAGTGATTACCCCACTTTATAACGACATCACTGGCCGTGAAAGTTGTGATATAATCAAGTGACATTGCCGTTTGGTGAGCCGATCCCGGAGGCACAAGAAAAAATAATTTTGGCTGCCATAAAGGGAGTCGGTTGAGAAGTAAAAGACTTTCTTGCTAAAGGTGTAAAGAACCTCATGATGTCCAAGAGCAGCTTCAATAATTCATTCACTCATTCATTGGCGTCGACTATCCGGACGCAAGTCATATTCAATTATTATTCCTAAACCCTTTGCTTGGAGCTTTCGGGGGATGTCAGACCCTTGATGTTTATCAGTACATAAACACGCACAATTTTGTAACAGAGATGAGGGAACACTAGACACCCCGATTTCACGTAGGACGGATATTAGGAACATAAATTGTCAAGACTAGGTATGCTAGAGGCTTTAGCAATACTTTTTTTTTTTGCTGACGTGCCACGGCTGGCCAGCACATGTATTGGTTATTCACTGAACCACGATATAAGAACAAAGTAGTAACTATTTATCTAACATTCCGAACGAGAGAACGACGCCTCGTAAATGCGCTGCAACGCTCCTCCACAACATCTTTCAACTACTTAATTGTTGTATAAGATAAGTGCTAAAACATGATGCTATCGTGTGATCTGCAATTTCAAACTGTCAATAAGCGGTGTTTTTTTTTGTCATGTCATATTTGAAGATTTTGTAAAGCACCCGGTACTCCCTTACATTGATGTGAAAAACACAGCAACAAAAAAGTCATAAATAATATAACAGCTAGGCATAGTTCATACCAAGTATTTCCACGTAATACCACGAATAAGAAACAATACAGAGTCCTGTCACATAGCACCATAGTTATCACAGAATTCAGTTTCACGAACGCCATGCATGCTGTAAAATAACACTACACAATGTTCTTTCACATAGCTACACTCAAATTGCGGAAGCTCAGTCAGAGGGACGCAGAATGAGTTCTCACATCAAGTGGCAGCGTTACGTGGTCACGCTCGATAATATGCTTAAAATCTGTATGAACAAGTTTTCTCAGCCATTTTCAAGTACACCGCTCTCTTTCATGGATTTCTAGACGGCTAATAGTGCGCGCTCTTGTAAGGCACACGTTGGCCATATACCAATGTCACAGACCAGCCATTGGCTTAGGACTGATTCTGAAGGGCCATTCAATATCTTATTAGCTGTTGATGTTCTTCCGGATATCAAGAAAATTCTGATGAAATATGTTGGGCATCTTCGTCCACGTGCGCATTTCTACACTCGTGAAATGAGTAAAAAGCCCTTTGTGCAAGCGGTACCCAACGCAGGTGGTGCGTAAGTGTTTCATAGGCCCTTCTCACTATACACGTTGAAGTGAAGCCCAATTACAGCGTAGTACCAAAAGAAAGTATGTCTGAAATTCTAGAATTTCCATCAAACCACGTCGCTTTGTAAGTTTCATATACTCTAAGATCAGAATAAGATACCTCGTATTATTCTTGTACAGTCGACGTGAAACTTTGAAAGACCACAGGACACCAGAAAAAGCTGGCTATTCCAGCTGTATAGCCTGAAAGCCACATTACTAGCCTGGTCTGAAACACTAGAAAGCACGTGCTGCACAGTTCATCCGAATAGTTACAGATTTACGCTAAATACAATGTTTTATTGCAATAGCAATTATATGGACACTCTCGGCTGTATTTTGCCACTGGCGTCGAAGTCGATGTCATGCGCCGTCTCACTGTACGTGAGACGCATGTAGTTATAGTATGTGCGTGCGTGGATAGGGGCAGAAAGTAGTACTGTTGTGCAGAGAATTAAGTGCAGAATTTTATGAACGTTCGCAGAAAAACATTCCGCAATAGGGAATTTTCATGTCTCTAAATGGGAATTCTTCGGCGGAGTACGGAACATCACTGACGTCAACGCGCAGCTGCGACTCTGACCTACTTGGCATCGTTCCAGCAATTACGGTGCGGAGAAACGTGTTGCGGAGCGTTGGCACGGAGACACGGACGGACATCGTTACGCAGACAAGTCAGTGAGCTGCCTCGCATCTGATAAGTGAATAACAGTCGACGACAAACCTATCCACTGATACATGTCAACGTCCGGAGGATATGGCCTCAGCAAACAGTTCTGTACGTTCGTGGCTGGCAGCGTAGACTCAAGCAGGCTCGACGGGCTCAAGGAGTCAGCGACTTGCCGGTACATGTCAGCCAAGGGACCCCTGCCTTGAACATGCAGCTTCATCTGCGTAGGCACTGCAATCCAATGCGGTTTTGTCACAGACAGTGTCGGTCGACTAAAAGTATAGTCAACTGAACCGTAGTCATGTACAGGCGTGAGCACATGTGTGCAGACCACGGAATCGGGTGGCCGATGGCATGGATGCGCTATCTGGCGACGGGACGCATGCTGCGGTGCGCCTGCGCGTCCCGTCGTATCAGTTGGCCTCTCATGCAGCTCTCTCCGACGCACTCGTAGCCAAGATGACAATTGGTGTCGGTGTCCTTGCTCTAACAAGTTTGTGCCGTTGTTTTTATTTTCTTCTTTTTACGTAGCGGCTGCAACGGCGCCGGTTCCAGCGCTGGGCTCGCGTTGTGATTTTTACAGGTTTATTAGCATAACAAAGTGTAGCCAGCCTCCCAAACCTGATGATGCACACAAAATTAAGTTTTCTCAGCTCAGCTTGCCTTTGTTGCGTTAGGTCAAGTTGAACTTAAATGAGCCTGTTATGATGAAACTAGCGCTATAGGTACTAAGACATAATTAAGATTAGCTTTAAGGCTAATTAGAATCGTCTATTCTAATGAGACTAGACTTGGCATTAGTAATTAGTATCTTCCTCAGCTTGGACTCTTTCAGATCCTAAAAATTCAACTTTATTTACTTTATTGTGTTTTATTGGGATTTTTTATTTAAACTTGATTATCAGAATAGTTTGATAATGTCAAGATCAACCACACTTATTCAGATTTTTCTACAGTTATCTTAGCAATGCCTCATTAGCTTATTCTTGCATATTTACCCTAATTATATACCACGTGCAACTCCAGCATGTTTCGTGTGTGATTGGATATCAAACTAATTATTCAACCATAACTTGTACGCGTTTTATCAGCTTATACCACGCTCAACTAGGTTGAATTAAAATCGGCTACACTTACATGCACTTAACTAGGTTCATTTAGGTTCAACTTGGCCTAACGCGACAAAGGCAAGCTGAGCTGAGAAAATTTAATTTGTGTGCTTGGCTTCACGAGGTTTTGCAAAGCTGGTACGCTTAGTTATGAATCAACCAGCATAAATAACAATGCTATTCCGGCGCTGGAAACGACACCGTCATAGCCTCTACATTAAAAAAAAAATTCCGCCATATCCACGAAGTGAATGATGATGAGTGGGCGAAGCTCCGGAGGTAAACCTGGTAAACCATGAATCCTCCGTACATTTTGCCCACTCGATTTTATTACATCGCTCCCCCTAGCGTACGTCGCCGCACTAAATCGAACGATTGCCTTCAACCAATGACACGCGCCATATGTGACATCATTCCTATTTTATAAGATCTCGCGTCTTTCATCAACTACAAGTACCGCTTTCTAGTTTATAACATCTTGCATCTTTTCATCATCAGCTACAAGTACCACCATCTAGTAAACACTACAAGAACTAAACTAGAGGTGGCTACATACAGGGGACGGTACCGCCATCTAGTGAACACTGCAAGAACTAAACTAGAGGTGGCTACATACAGGCTACAGGGGACGCACAGCCCACGCCCTAAGGAGCTTCGCCCCTAAAATGGCACAAATTCGATGGAGCCAAGACAGTGACACCAAGGTGTCGTTTGTGCTACTTGCTAGTCGGAGAGAGCGACATGAGAGGTCAACTGATACGACAGGACGCGCCCGCGCACCGCAGCAGGCGCCTTGTCGCCAGATGGCGCATCCATGCCGTCGGCCACGCGATCAGGGCATTTCAAACATCACGACATTTCACAAATTTGGGGCGTCATGTAACAAGCGGGTGATTTTATGGCACAGAAAATTTTAAATGCCGAAGAACAAAGTGGCAAGAAATATGCCACTGTGAAAAAAAAGTTCATTCAATTTTTTTTTCGTGGTCGTGCATAAGTGGTAATAACACGATGGATTATTTTCTCGCGATTTGTTGCCTCGCGTAACGATCTGGTTGCGTACACGGAGTGTTTAGTCCAATCATATACAGCTAACGACCATTTCGATAGCCAGCAACGAGGGATATAGTTTAACATTATAATTGGGCACAATTTTTTCTTTCAAAGGAAAATTTTGTTTACACCATTTTTGTCGGCGTATTTATGCAAATGCCTGGAGGCCCTTTAGGCAATTTTGTTAATACAAATACGACGGTTGTAAACTATGTTCTACGCCCCTAACACCACTAATTATACATTTTCAAAGAAAAAGGTTGAGAGGTGGATATTAAGAGTAATATAATAATAGTAATTTTGTTATAATTACACGTACCAAATACTCTTTTTGGACTATTAGCAAACAAGGTAAATTATTATACACACAAGCCTGAATATATACAAGTAAGTTTAATACTTATTATGAAAAATTATCACAGCAATCATTCATTGAAAAAGTATGGTTTATCCCTCCGTCATAGGAATCTGTGTAGCACGAAAGTCAAACGCACCTTCACAGAGGTGGTTGATTGTTTACTGTACCTTGATAAAGGAGGATTTGTCGAATGAATATGTTTTAGTGTTTCACAGCCATAGCACCATTCAACGTGGATTTACACTTGTTGACGCTTGGTACATCTCCATCCCGACGATTAACATTTAGGACGACTTTAATTCAACAAGCCATTGTGGTACTTCTGGATGATAACCACAAAAGCATACTCGGAGGAAGAGGTGTGATAGGAAGATGAACATCGCATCTAGTGATCATGGCACTCGACTGCCAAGCGGAAGGCCGCGGGATCGATTCCCAGCTGCGGCGGCTGCATTTTTGATGGGGTGGAAATGTTGCAGGCCCGTGGGCTCAGATTTGGGTGCATATTAAAAAACCCCACGTGGTCGAAATTTCCAATTTCCGAAGCGCTCTATTACGGCGTCTATCATAATCATACGATAGTTTTGGGACGATTAAACCTTCTATATATATTATATTATTATTATTATTATTATTATTAGTATTATTATTATTATTATTATTATATTATTATTATTATTATTATATTATTATTATTATTATTATTACAATGGCAGGAGAAATTGGGCTAAGGGCACAATCTCTCGGCTTAGTTGAATTTGTTGTACCTAAGAAAGCGCGTCATGTCGCCCCTGTAGCCCGGCCACGATGTTTTTCGGGGCACGCGTGAGCGACAAACGCGCTCTCACATCCACGTCAGGTAAGCATGTGCCACAGGGCTATTTCCATGGATGCCAATAGCGAGACCGAGCTTTAAAATCTATCGGCTTGACGATGTTCGGGCTAAGACTACTACCTCGAAGGTGCGTTAAAGCTGTTTAGCAAAATTGCACTGGTATAGAAAACTCGCCCACGTGATTATTCGCTTTGCAGGAGCTAATCGAGGAGGCCGCTGCAAGAAGGCGACTACCGCAATGACCAAGAGCACTGTCGGAGTAAAGTGCGACACATTGTCGCGAAAGCAATGTCTCGCGGAAAGGCTTCTTCTTTTCCAGCTACAGCTAGAGTTCGTACTTTGCCAGATTTCTTGTTAGCGGCGCCATTTACCGACTTATCTCGGGGAGGGTGCCTCGAGGAAGAATGATAGTCTGAACCGAAAGGGCTGCAACCGGTCGGTCACTGTGCACTTCCCGCCAAAGCAGGCACCGCGCCGTGATTGTGACCGGACTGCAGAAATTAGGTGCCTTTCTCCTTCTAACCACTGAGTCCCCACGTTTCAAACGAACGAGCCGCCGCTTCGGTCCTCCGGGTAAAAAGGGGACCAAAATTTGAGCAATTGTTAGCGCGTCAAGGCCGTTTCGGAGTATGCGCCCGTTTCCAGAAGCTGCCACAGTTTTGTCGCGAGGCAGGCTTCACGCGACCACAAAAACTCATGCTGGATTGGTTATCCTCGGCTTGCCTGGTTGGTCCGCGCACCCGTGGATGCTGGATAGCCCTATTAAGCAGCGACTCGGGCCCTTTTTGGGGTGAGCGGAGTCGGGTTCAGCAGCGCATCTCTCCACCGGAGACCAGTCATGCAAGCTGAGGGGTATGCCACCATTTTCCATGTTTTGTATTTGTGACCTAGTGCATTATGTAAACTCAAGTTGTATTAGCTAAATAAACCCCCAATGAGTGCTCCCCGAAGTCATCGTATCGACTTGTCATCGCTTGCCTGTGCGGAATCGCTCCCACGCTTCTTCGCCTCGACGGTCTCCAGATGCGTCTAGCTTAAACAACCCCGAAGTTTCACTACAATATATAAACCGCGTTTTTATATGGTATAGCAGTTCGAGTCTGTAAGCTGTATTTCTTCTCATCTCAAGTATATTTGCCCATTGTAAAAACTTCTTCAGTATATATATATATATATTGTCCTGGGGTCGTGACGTGAACGATAGAGCATACTCCACGTCGAAGAAAAAACTGTTATTCGGGCCAAACATGCGGCCACGCAAAAAGAAAGTAACACAGTAGTACTGATAGCGGCGAAGCGTATCGGCATTTATACACTTGCCATCGAACATTCCAGCGTTATCGCCAGTGGCGCCGTAGGTTCCGGATTACTCTGAAAGACTCACGAAGTGGGCGTAACCTTAACAAAACAGCCTCAAAGCTTCTCTAACAGCGTAGTACATAGTGTAACGGTGCGATAACAAAACTTGAGGAAAGGAACGTGGCAATATATATAAATACCGGCTGTCGAGTGAGGTCGGTTTACCCCCCTCCTGCCTATTCGCGAAAGAGTTGGTACGCCGCTGTCTGTCTGTCTGTCTGTCTGTCTGTCTGTCTGTCTGTCTGTCTGTCTGTCTGTCTGTCTGTCTGTCTGTCTGTCTGTCTGTCTGTCTGTCCATCCGTCTGCCTGTCTGTCCTTCCATCTGTCCTCTTTACTTTTTCATCTTTAACCTATACCTCTTTAACCATCAACTATACGAAAATCCCTAATGCCATCAAGTGATAGTCATAAAAATCATAATAGGTCGACTATACACAAGTGATGATTTATGCCCTCATATTTGTGTTTGTGCTAACGTCTTTTGTGTTGACGAGCTTTTCCAAGCGCCCTGAGTCAATGACTGCTAATTATGCCCTTCTTCAAGCCTGGAAACCTTGGGTAAGTGCGTGTACACTTACGTCCAGCGCTCACGTTGATCTTGCCGAGGGCTCTGACAAACGCGACGAGCCGATAGAGGGTGTAGTCCAGAAGCAAAGCGACGATCGTGTGCGCGGCACTGATGGCGAACGTCCAGAGGTGCTCCCACAAACCCTGCGACTCGTGGCGAGTCATGCGAGCCGAGAAAGGAGTCACAAAGCTGCGCCTCTCGTACGTCTTCAGCGGCAAGATGGTCTCGAGACCCTGCGAATGCCATTTGATGCGGAAATCGACAAGAAAGTCATTGTTCCTTGACACTCTGTAATGTAGCTATACCATTCTGAGTATTGAAGACAGTGGCGCCTTGACTTGTACACAATGCCTGGGTCGCGCAACAAAGCTGGTCGCAAGGCGACAGGTCTATATTTCTGAACAAATCACATAAACATGAACAGGTAGTCAGACCTTTTCACGGAGCAATTGAAGTGCAAGAAGACGTGAATCATGTGTGACGATGGGTATAGGTCAAATACAGGTGTGAATATTGACTGCGTAAAGTCGTTTTTTTTAATCATCATTTGCAAGAGGTTGCGCAAGCACTGCTAGTCACAGGGCTGAATGAGACTTTACAATTATATTCTCTAAAAAGCATGCCTATTTCTGTCAACAACCATATTTTCTCGCATACTGTTTGTCTACTGGCTGGTACTGGTTTGTTTTGGCTAACTCCTAGTTGCTGTCGAGTAGAGTTAGATATCCGTTGTTATGTCTGCAATATCGTTTTCATTCAATCCCAAGTTAATTATTGAAATGAAAGCAGTTAAAACAGCTGCACTTTGAAAACTCATATGTAAATATTCAGCAGGCACTAATAAAGTCATTTTGTTTCTCACCAAAACATCAAAATGATGCTGTGATTACCACAGTTATATCTTGCCGGAAGCTTCTCCTCTAAATTTTCAAGTAACATACAACTGTTTCGGAAGTTTTGCGAAGCCAAGTTAGGTAATTGAAAGAAACCTTACGTGGTGACACCCAAGGAATGAATGCATGGCCATTCCGTTTCGTTGAGTTCCCACTGCTCCATTTAACCGAGCTGCTGATGACGTCAGTGTTTGAACAGCGCTGTGCTTTCTGTGCCTTCTTTCCTATGTTTGTCTGTGGTTCCGCTGTCAATCTATCATAGGGTAAGCATGTGGGATTGGCCCACCACGAGTACAGTAGTGAGACTCGCTAAATCGGTGTGCTCCATGAGCGCTACATTTTGCTGCGCATGTTAAGCTGGCCGCGGCAGGGTGGGATAAGATGCGGTAAAATTTTTAAATGTTTATTTTTATTTCACTACTTACAAATAAATATCAATACAGAAGCTTTCCATTGGTTGTAAGGTATGTGCTACACGAGTATTTCTACGTTGCTACCGTTCAAAATATTATTCTAAAAGTAGGTATAAAAATTGCCCCAGATGCCTCATTTCGCCTCAACCTGCGGGGCAAAACGAGACGCTGCGTAGGGCAAAAAGAGACATCGTGGAAAAAGTTCATTCATTCAGTTTCTTTCGGTAGAAATACAGCAGTAGAAATTTACTCGGTGTGTCCTCCGAGCATTGAATCTAGACAGAACACGGTGTTGTGTTGCTCCTTGCAGATCAATCACCGTCAGTCTTTCTTTGCGCTAATGTTGTCTTTTGTTGAACGCTTAATTTATTACACTATTGGAGGCTAGATGTGTGCTAAGGGACCTTCTTCACCTTTTTTGCTTTTATGCATAACTTCTGAGGCGTCTCATGACTTTTAACATCATCCACGAGGTTTTGTGAAACAATGAATTGAGAACTGGGCTACATTCAGATTTCTTAGTGCCGGTATTTTTTTTCTTCATTGAGAGTATTTAAAAAAACGTCGTTAAACATCATTTCCAAGACGTGTTTGCAAATGACTTGCCTTGGTGGTGGTGGCAGAAAACATTTTATTACTGAAAATGTACCAGAGAGTTGCGGCATATTGCATGCTTTCGTAGCAAGACCCTATTCCGGGACGCCAATGAAGTTGGCCGCTGCCCGAGGCGCCTCACCAAGGAGCATCGAGCATCCAAGGTGGAGCAGCCGAGCAGGTACTCCTCCCAAGCCTCTCTAGTTGGGATGGAGTTTAAATGCGAAGCATTTTTAGTGAACTTTGGCGACTTTGGACTAATCTATCTATCTATCTATCTATCTATCTATCTATCTATCTATCTATCTATCTATCTATCTATCTATCTATCTATCTATCTATCTATCTATCTATCTATCTATCTATTTATTTATATATCTATCTTTCATCTGTCCTGATCGTTTGTATAAGAGGATCTATAGGCGAGAGCAGGCCTATCTCGCACCCAGGCGCCTTTGGCGGTGTACCCTCGCTCCCAGAGACACCATAATTTGTTTAGAACTGCCAAGACGCGCCTCGCTAGCAAGGCATGCAGCGGCTCTGGGAGTTTACGTGCGAAAAAGCCTCTGTTCACGCTACACTTGCTTATAAAATGTCATCTGATGTGACAAAAACCAGTGCCAAAAGAAAAGATTGCAGAGCGCACTGCCCGTGAAGTTCACAGTGCATCGCGACAATCATGCCAGGGCGGTGTTTTGCGATGGCACAGATTTCCGTCCACAACAAAAAACACTGAGCTCTGCCACCTCAGTATATAATCGCAATCGACAGGAAAAACTAAGAGTCCAGTAAAGTGTACAAGTAAGTATACAAATTGCGTTTATTCAAGCGCGACTCCAGCTGTTCCACTTTACAGCTGCAATTTACGTGCAGTATGCCTGTAGTATGCGGCACAAAACTATTGCTGCACACTTTCGCAGGCTGCATGTCAATACTAGCATATAGCACCGCCGTGGTGGTCTAGTGGCTAAGGTACTCGGTTGCTGACCCGCAGGTCGTGAGTTCGAATCCCGGCTGCGGCGGCTGCATTTCCAATGGAGGCGGAAATGTTGTAGGCCCGTGTGCTCAGATTTGGGTGCACGTTAAAGAACCCCAGGGGGTCGCAATTTCCGGAGCCCTCCACTACGGCGTCTCTCATAATCATATCGTAGTTTTGGGACGTTAAACCCCACAAATCAACCAATACTAGCATATACGTATTACGACTCACGCGTGGATGCACGCACAGCGCATGTTTAGTACAACTGCAACGGCCTACTATCGCGATGCAAAGAGGCGTGAACGGCGCGGAAATCATGGCTTTCGACTCGGTCGAACTGCGACATGCCTTGACTGTCCCTAGGAGAATCTACATGTGCTTTCGGCCTGCATCACCGCTGCAATTTAAAATCTTGTTCTGGCTGCTACTTTTGCACCACGTGTGTTTTGAGTGCCTGGCAGGACTGGTAATTGACACACATGCGGTCCATGAGCATAGGTTGGAGCCAGATACTAGCGCTACGTTGACGCTGGCTTGGCGTCTCTCATGATCATATGGTGGTTTTGGGACCCACATATCAATTAACGTAAGAAAGTGTGCGAGTGCCACCGCTCGTTTAGTCCTTGGAATGTCCGCTGGATGGCGGTGCTTCTATATGGGGAATATATGATGAAAAGATGCGAGATGGTGGTACTTGGAGTGTTGAATGGATGGACGAACGGACACAGAGACAGATGCGTGGATGGATGCATGAACGGATGCATGGACGAACGCAGGGATGGACGCACGAACAGACGCACGCACGGACGGGCGGATCGACGCGTGGACGGTCACACAGACGGACGCATGGACGGATGGAAGCAAGAACGAAAGGACGGAAGAATGCTTCGCCCCACTCTCCATCATTCACTCCGTGGATATGCTGCCATTTTTTACCAATTCAATGCCTGTTATAAAATTGTTTTTGCAAATGATTGTGGCAATGGGAGCCCACAGGCGTGATTGGCTTGTGTGGAGACCCTTTGTTCAACCGAGGATTGAAAAGAGTGTGTTTGAATGTTACATGAAGCGGAGGTTCGGGCTTGGACTCGGGCAGACGCCTGAGACTGCAATAAGGCGTCTCTTTACCGGACTACAGCTCTTCCTTCGCGCTGCCATCGAGCACTCGCGTCATCGAGGGGCACCAATTCCGAACCTCAAATACTTTTCCTCCTAAGCTGGGGTAGAAGATAGTCGAGGAGAAAGAAATTAACTAGGATTGTCGCCGGGACGAAGACCAGCGTTTGAGTTTGCTTCAGCGTTTCCTTGAAGAGACATTTTCGAGGTACGATCAAACAATAGTAGACTATACGCGTATGGAAAATATTTAAGGCCGCTAAGTGTTCCTGCGCAGTTTATGACGCGTAAGATTGCGTTTGTAGTGCGGCAAGTTTGTTCCCGTTGATTGAAATACCTTCTAAGTGGTTTCGTGAGCTTTACTTGGTAGCTTCTGACTGTGCAAAATTGTGTGATGCTTTTGCTGAGAATTTTGTTTTTGTCGTAAGCTTTTGCTTAACTCGGTCTTTGGAACGCCCCTGGCGTTGTTAATGCACTAAAAAACCAACATTTAAATTATGCCTGGTTTCGTGGTGATTTTAGGTGGGCCGATACGCCAGCCGTTGGAATCTGCCTGGTGACTGCCTGCCCAAGAACGTAATCAGTGACCCTTATCATTTCAGGTGAGTCAAACCGGCAGTTTTCATGGAGAGTATCGAGACCTATACTCTACGAATTATTGGCCTTCCTAGGGCAAACTGTTCACATATTTGGTGCAATAGGTACTCCTAATAACAATTCCGAATCGAACCTGTGATGTGCAGCTACGTAACGCATTATTTGCGGCCCACTGTGCCGGTGCGTGTGAAAGCGCCTCTTGTGGGAGAAGCGGTGGCGCCAAAGTGGGAGCGAGGTGAACTAGGCGCTTGATTTGATTGATGTGTGGGGTATAATGTCCCAAAACCACCATATGATTATGAGAGACGCCGTAGTGGAGGGCTCCGGAAACTTCGACCACCTGGGGTTCTTTAACGTGCACCCAAATCTGAGCACAAGGGCCTACGAAATTTCCGCCTCCATTGGAAATGCAGCCGCCGCAGCCGGGATTCGAACCCGCGACCTGCGGGTCGACGAGATGGACTAGGCGCGACCCGCCGCTTCGGCGGCACACAGCACGCCGTATCTTGTTTTTTTTTCTTTTTTTTTTATCCAGCGGCCATGGTACCACGTCCACCGCCTCGCGCAGTTGTGATGGTTTTAAAGTGACATACCAACCTTCTTTATTCAGCGCGAATGAAGAAGGTTGATATGTCACTTTATATGTCAATCGATTCCCACTGTATGTGGGATCTGTCATTTTTTTTCTGTGCGGCATGGCTGTCAGCGGCATGTGGCCGAAGTGTTCTTAAAGTTAAATACTGCTCCGTTACTGTGGTTTATTATGTTGCTTCACACCCTGTTTGTTTCTGTTAACCTGGTCTCGAGCATTGCTAGCCTAGCTGTAGGCGTTTAATCACACACAGAGCTGAGTAAAGAAGGCAGGGCGTGCAAACGGAACACGGCAAACAACTGAAGGAGCATACAACAAAAAAGAAGGCACCAAAAGTTATCTGCAATATGCGAACCGTCCAATATGGCGTTGTTCTACGCAAGGGACAATTGTAGATGCATTTGGTTTCCTCTTTATGCAGGGTCACCGACGGTTGGCCATCGATATGTCAACCTCAATCATCATACGCCGTTTCCATCAATCATCATTTCTACGTCGGTAAAAAAACTGCGCATTGTTCAAATTATGAAGTGTGCTTACACTATCGACAATGTAAAGAAAGATTAGAAGGTGAGGCTCCTATCAGCGATAGCTTATGTTCCGATAATTTCTGGTTAATACAGCTCACAGTTAAAAACAGCTCCATTGTTTAATAAGCTACAGAACTCAAGGATAACCCAATAAATGCCGGGGCACAGTTTAATCCCCCATGTTTTGATTATTTTTTTCATGAAGTCACACGTATTGAACCAAACAGCTGCACTCAGCTGTCAAAGTTTACGTTGAGCTTTCGCTACGTTGTGGAAGCATGCGAGGGGAAAAATTGCGAAAGCAGTTATATTAGTCAGCTACACAGATCAAATGCTCGAGTGGTAACTTGTTCATATTGCGTCACAAGCGCGAAAGTGCGTTTTTGTTTCCTTTTTTTTTTCATTTTGGTACCTTCATGTCAGAGGTGACGATCATATGTGAAAACCTGGTGCTGTACATCACGTAGAACAAACCTTGAGTGCACGGCGCTTGTCGATGGCTTCTACCATCCAGGTGATGTAGTAATTGTCGAAGTCGTCCTCCCGCATGTATCGGTAACGGTACTGCATTGCCCTGAAGGATTTAAAAACAAAAAGATGGTGCTCGTTGTGAGACATAACTCGGAGCTTACAGCTGCAGAATTCTGACAGGAGCACGTTTCAGTGTGCTGCAACTTCATCGTACATCAGAAACCATAGCGCACTTCACGAACACAACACGGGATGAATCCAGAACAATCACTTTGCTGATCCTGTGCATATATAAAGACGCATTCGAAACTGCAACAGGAAAACAACTGACAGAAAGCAAGAAGGTGAATCAACCCATGTCGTCTAAGCCAAACGACGAAGCTCTTTCTTACGTTAAAAAAAAAAGACAGCATGCTGACGCATTCCTTACATGTCCTTGATATCTTAGACGCCTCTGCGATTCCGCTCGTAATCTAGTTGAAGGGGCGGTGCAGCGGAAAATGTCTGATTTAAAATAGGCAAACGCTAAAAGAGAGCTTAGCGCCACATTTCCCACAATGGGCAACAAGTTAGATAAGTGTGGTTTAACGTCCCGAAACCACCATATGATTATGAGAGACACCGTAGCAAAGGGCTCCGGAATTTCAACCTCATGGGGTTCTTTAACGTGCACCCAAATTTGAGAACACGGGCCTACAGCACTTTCGCCTCCATCAAAGATGCAACCACGCAGCCGCGATTTGATCCCGCGACATGCGGGTCACATTTGCAGCAAGTGGTCCACTACGGCAGCATTGACACTTTAGTGTTCTTGTCGATCAGGCATCTGTCAGTCTTGCCTACGTCATCTTTTTTTTTTTCACGTCACAGTGAAATTTCGTAAACAACACCTCTTGTGCATACTACGTAAATAGAAGGCGTTACCTATAGATTAGACGAAGGCTTCCTGGAAGTTGTTGACTAGACTTGCCTGAACGTGCGTCTGCTCGAGCCCGACAGTAGAGGCTGGAATTGCGGTACACATGAAGAACTTACTGGCCATTGTAGAAAAAATGCCGCCCACTTCCGCCACAGGGGAAACTCGAGTAAATACGTCGCAGAGTGGTGGGGGTAACGCGTGAATGTTGCGTGATTGGGTATGGCTTGGGAATGCTTCATTGTTATTTCATCTTCGTTATTCCTATTTATTGACTGATGAAGAAGCATTGCTTCTACGAGTAGTGGGACGCTGATGTGCAATTTCAATGTTTACAAACACAGGCCCTTGAAGACATCCGGTTTTGTACACCGATGTGCCTTGATAGCATTGGTAGACAACAAAAGCTTTAGGAAATAAATAGCCCGCTGATTTTCTACAGCTTCATTCACTAGTTTGGCGAAATAAGCCTGCGAATTTAATCCAGCCAGCACGGTGTCCATAACACGCCGGAATGTCGCGGGCGTCAAGCAAAGACTAAATGCCATGACCTTAAACTCGAAGAGGCCGTCTGGTGTAATAAACACAATCTTCTCCTGATCTGTTTCGTCGACTTCAATTTCTCAATAGCTGGTCTTGAGGTTCATCGACAAAAGATACTTCACGTAGTGGAGTGGATCCCGGGCGTCGTCAATACGTGGGAGAGGGTACGCATCCTCTTTAGTGGTTTTGTCCAGGCGGCGTTAATCGACGCAAAAACGTAGGGTTCCGTCCTCTCTCTTCACTAACACTACTGGTGACGCCACGGACTGTTGGATGGCTGAATGTTGTCGTCACCTAGCATTTCGTCGACTAAACATGTTTCCTCATGGCCTCGCGTTCACGTGTCAAAACTCGATACGGCCTCTGTCGAAGTCTTCGGGCACTTTCTTCTGTAGTGATGTGATTTCATGACTGTGGTTTTTCAAAATCTTGATGAAGGCAAGGAAAAGCAGGGTCTTTAGCTGGTCTTGCTCGCGCTTCGGATGGCTCGGGTTGACGTAGAAATCTGGTTGGGAGCCCAGATTCGTCAAGCTTCGGCAGCACCGAAGACAGTGAGAGAATCGCTGGCGTTCGCGAATTTGTCGAAGTAGGCGACCGTCATACGAACGTTGAAGTGCCTTTATTCGTGGCCGAAGTTTGTCAGCACTACCTTTGTGTGGCCGTCACGCAGCTCAGCTAGGCCTCTTGGGATACAAATCTGACGGTTAAAGAGCAGGTGCTGATCACCATCGATAATGCCTTCAAGGTTGTCGGCTTTTTTGGTGCCGACGGAAATGATCACGCTGAAGAAAGGCCCCTAGGTGACCTGCTCTTCTATCACATTCAGTGTGTGATTTTCCGGCGTCGTGTAGGGTGGCAGATCTTTTTCTGAGGTTAGTGTTATTGATTCAGACCTCAGAGCAATGACGGCGCCATGGTGCCTTATGAAGTTCATTCCAAGTATGCGTTACTGGAACACTTTTGTAAGATAACAAAGCTCGCAGGATAAGTCCGGTTGTTCGTTGGGACTCTGGCTGTGCAAACTCCTACCGGCGTTATCAGGTGGCCTCCAACAGTCCGGATTTCGGCTCCATTCCAAGCAGTCCTTTGTTTCTTCAGCTCGAAGATGAACGGCCCACTGATAACGGAATAGCCGACGCCAGAGTCGACGAGAGCGGTGAAGTTGTGACCATCGATGAGAATGTTGAGGTTACTAGTTCGTCGTCTGACGTTGCGATTGGGTCGTGGCGTCGGATCCCTGCTACGACGGATTGTACCACTGTTTCGTTGTTGCGTCATCAGGTCTTCTTGAGGCATATAGTTGCGACGTCGGGGCTACGCTGAGGTGGTGGCGGCTTCTTGAAGTTTCGTCGTGGCATCGTCGTTGGTGGTGGAGGATTTTCGGCAGTTCGTCCTACAGCAACCACACCTTTATTGGTTGCTGCCTTTAGTTCCGTACCTTAGTTTTCCGAGTATGGGCTCGGGAAAGGGCCTGGAGTAGGGCCGGTGTACTGGCCGTGTTGGGGTAACATGTAGCGGCTTGGCCACGGCGAACGGTACGGTCGTCGGGGCTTCCATTCTGCTCCTGCGAGGTAGTCGGTGATATCTTGAGGTTGTTCACTTGAGCTCGGACACGGCGCGTGGACTTCGAAATCCTGAAGCTCCATTTGTTGGTACTGGCAGCGGCGGCCAGCTTCCCCGTAGTGGGCAGTGGTCGGGAGCGCACCAAACGTCGGTCTGCTTCAGTGTGTTTCGCTAGCCGGCTGACGGGAGATATGAGGATGGTGGGGATGGCAGTGTTGTCTGGCGGCGAAACCACGGCGATGCAGCGTCCTGGCGTCGGCGACGAGAAGGGGTCTGACGGCGGGTGGCTGCTGCATAGCTCATGACTTGAACCCTCGGCTGTGGAAGCTTCGGGACGCCCTGCCATGGCTGGATCTCCGGGCGTACGACTTCCGTGGTGGAGTTAACTTGAGGTTGTGCTGAAGGTGGCAATTTCCGCAGCTCCTGTTGCCGGTTACTCTGATCGTCTCACGCAGTTCGGTGGTTCCTAGCGCTTTGAGTCGACGCAGCTTGTAGCTGAGAAGCTGCGGTTGTATTGCTATGTCTGCCTCTCGAGCGTCTTCTCAATTGTCGATGCTTCCGAAGTGAATTCGGCAATCATCACGGGTGGGTTCCTGATCAATTCGGCGAAGACTTCTTGCTTGACACCCCTCACAAGGAAGCTCACTTTCTTCTCCTCGGTCATGTTGCGATCGACGTGACGAAACAGCCGGGTCATCTCTTCGACGAAGATGTTCACGTTTTCATTGGGAAGTTGCACACGTGTCTCGAAGGCAGTAGTGGCACGTTCCTTACGAATAACGCTCTCTAAGGAGCTCAAGAACGTCGTCCGAAAGAGATCCCAGGTTCGTAGTGTGGATTCCCGAGTATCGAACCACGTCTTCGCGGCGTCTTCTAGATAAAGGTGGACGCGGTGCAGTTTTTGTTCGAGGTCCCAACTGTCCAAGGCAGCGACTCAGTCGTGGGTCACCAGCCTGCTTTTGGGTCTTGGGTGATCAACGAAAAATGAGAGGCTCATTGGCTGCTGGAGCAGGATGGGTGCAACAGGGGCTGTCACCGTCACAGTGGGCAAGGTCAGGTTTTTAGGATTCCGGGTTGGGTCAGGTAGAGGCCAAAACTCTGGCGGAAGCCCTTACTGCCTGAGGCTGCCTCACTGCTCAGCGTTGGTGTCGATGTCCCCTTGACGGTGTAGGCTCGGCCCGCAGCTGGAGGTGGGTGTTGGCACATGGATGGGAAAGCACCTCTACCAGATGTCACGGAGTTGTGACGCAGACAAAGGGAGCAGACTGGATAATCAGATGAAACTGTTTATTTGGCCGGACCTGCTTTGTTTATTTGGCCAGCCTTTATTTGGTCGGATGAAACTGTTTGTTTGGTCGAACATTACAGAATGATCTGTAATGCTCGCGAAGTAGGCGTAGTTTTAACAAAGCGATGTACTATAGTCCTGAAGCTTCTTGAACACTGCAGGCGTGGTTTACGCCCGGAATTTCAAGTTGTGTAACTGGCTTAAGGAAGGAATGAGGCGACAGACAGACAGACAGACAGACAGACAGACAGACAGACAGACAGACAGACAGACAGACAGACAGACAGACAGACAGACAGACAGACAGATAGATAGATAGATAGATAGATAGATAGATAGATAGATAGATAGATAGATAGATAGATAGATAGATAGATAGATAGATAGATAGATAGATAGATAGATAGATAGATAGATAGATAGATAGATAGATAGATAGATAGATAGATAGATAGATAGATAGATAGGTAGATAGATAGATAGATAGATAGATAGATAGATAGATAGATAGATAGATAGATAGATAGATAGATAGATAGATAGATAGATAGATAGATAGATAGATAGATAGATAGATAGATAGATAGATAGATAGATAGATAGATAGATAGATAGACAGACAGACAGACAGACAGACAGACAGACAGACAGACAGACAGACAGACAGACAGACAGACAGACAGACAGACAGACAGATAGATAGATAGATAGATAGATAGATAGATAGATAGATAGATAGATAGATAGATAGATAGATAGATAGATAGATAGATAGATAGATAGATAGATAGATAGATAGATAGATAGATAGATAGATAGATAGATAGATAGATAGATAGATAGATAGATAGATAGATAGATAGATAGATAGATAGATAGATAGATAGATAGATAGATAGATAGATAGATAGATAGATAGATAGATATGAAAGTGTCTGCAGATACGAAAAGAAAGGCTTAGCATTGAAGAGAAAGAAGCATCGCAAGACAGCGACTGTTTGATGACTTCCTGGGTAAGCACTATTGTGCACGCTGGGTGTTAACCAGTGCGGTTGGTATGACGCAACAATGTGGGCAGGCCCATCGCCATGGGCTCACGAGATCAGCGGGAGAAGCGAAGACGACGCTGATGAAGGCAGTGTAGCCATTTGGTTGTTCCTGCTATGACGCGAGCCGCTCCAAAACCCGGAAAATTAAGTCGCCGCGTTTTTTGCACGTCCAATTACAACAGTGTCTGGTTGCTAATTTAATTATGGTATTGACAATTTCGATCACGAACCACGAAGTGACTATGCAAACGAGGCAGAAGTTGGGGAAAACATGGATGATTTAAGAGACACAGGTAACAGCTGCCGCCAACGTCTCGAGAAGTGATGTTACCTCCTTGAATTCGGCAAACAGCTTGAAGAGGATTCGTCGAAATGACGGCGATACCCACTTTTCAAAGACATAATCACGTGGCACCTCATAAGAGATGTTCGATGTCTGGATTAGAAATCACCTCCCCACTTTTAGCAGCGTACCGTTTATATGGCGGGGTCAGCTGCCAATCAGCCCCGTAACCGCTACACCAAAGCAGCGGAGGTGCAATGTTTTCGTGGTTTTGCTTACGCGCTTAGTCTGTCTACATTCATCTAAACTCCGCATCAATCATATATCCTTTTATGCTGGAGGCAATGACACCATGAGATATTCATACTAACCATATCCTGTGTGACTCATAAGACAGTCACGGTTTCATAGAGGCTATGTGTTTTGAGTATGTCATATAGTTTAAAGTTAGAGTGACGAAGTCCAGGCGAGTACATACATTAATCATCGTTCATAGGTCGACTTAGCCACTCCTACAGCCACTATCACCAGCCCCTTGTAGCTTTTAGAAAAAACTCGGTGGCCCGAGAACGCATGGGTTGGGCGGAGTCGAGTCTCACCGACTGCAGCGCCACTACTCCTCCTCCAAGGTTGGATGACTCCAAGAGAATCCGCAACGGATGCCAAAATTAAAATGAAGCGACGCCTCGGGGTTAAACGTGTGAAGCTCTAAGATTGCATCAGGAACACTCGACAATCGTAATAGCCATAACATTGGGCGTTAAGAACAAGTCCCGCTGATCATAGAGGTCCACTGAACTTCGGGTCAACTTCCTTCGGGTGCGTTTAGGGTTGAGAAAGAAAAAAAAAGTTAGGTGTTGCTAAAGCTCCGCCTTTAAGAGTTGAACGGGATAGCAATATTCTTGTCTTATTGCGTACTTCCAACACATAGTGGCATTATGAAACCTTCTCGAACTTGCCTTTGCGGGAGTAGGTGCAATTGCGTGTGTGCATATTGTAGTGGGTGACCGGTTTTAAACCACGCAGAAATTATGATAATCACATGTTCTGACACCCGACAGCGATGGGCGCTTGTGCCACGCATTATTACTGCAATATTTTATGTTGTATTGGGAAGCATCTATACAGGACGCATGTGCTTGTAATACTTGAAAGTTACTTTATTTGCATTTCCAAGAAGAGGAAGTTATTTTCACTGTGTTCCCAAGCAGATGTATAGCTGTGTGGAACATTCACTTGCCACGCAAACGACCTGGGTTCGACCCCCACTCTGACCCAGGATTTCTTTATTTGCATCATTCTCAATTTCTCGGTCACGCATAAGATGATGATTTTTCGCTCACTACCAATGATGTCGACGCCAGAATTTCTGCGATACGAGCTCTTTACCGCTATCGCGTTAACAAAATTCACACCCTGTAGTCTAACTTCTCCCAAGGTATACGCGTGCTTTCGGTATCAGTTGACGTGGTTGTTGTGCCTGCTCTTGACAGAGTGCGTGGGCCAATCGAAGCGATTGGCACAATAAGAGCCTCTCGCTGGAAATGCCGACGCGAAAAGCAACAGCCTCGTCTGGGCTCGGGCGACATATTGTGCGTTAACTTTGTTTCTTCGCGCAATTTTTCTTTTTCAATGTGACAGACCGATGGAACCCGTAAGCTAATATAGAAGAATGTGGAAGCTACAGAGTCGCAATATCGTCTCGGACACCGAATGATCGCACAGTCTGGTTTCGGCAAGTGGTACTGCCATTCCAGACATAGCAACTGTTTATTGAAAAAAAGGGGCAGCACACGGGAGCAGAAAAGCGATATACTTCTGAATTGGCCACATGACAAGCCCAAAGCCTCAAACAAACTATTTTTCCAGCAACAAAATTATAAATAAAGAAAATAAAGACAGCTAATAAGAACGCTGTCAACTTGTTCGAACTGGGCGTAGGCACATGCGATTCAAAAACAATCACACACGAGTACGTGGCGCAGAATAGGGCGAGCATGTGCGCCCCTCCGGCAAGTGATCGGATTTCAAGTATCGCCGTCAAATTTGATTCTCAAGCGTGCTGTGGCGCGATGAGGCTGGAAGACTCGAGAGCGGGTGTGTGAGGGGCATCTCACTGTCGGTTCCTGTTAGCGCGGAAGCAGCGAGAGTTCTTTCAGGTTTCGCGGAGGCCCATGCAAAGTGCAGGCGGGGGTCAGCGGGACGCTTCCGGATCGTGCGTGCTAATCGCGCCGCGTTCATTATAATGGGGGACCAGTGGTTTACCCAGCCATTACGAAAAGAGTGCCGCGAATGAAAACAAAGAAAAACACAAGCGGCCCGCCCTTCCCCTGGTGTACGTACGAATAAAGCTGGTCAGCTTTAAAAAGTATGCACTCCAA